GTCCAATTAATTTCTTTCTAATTTTAGTAGAGACGGGCTCTTGCTCTTGCTCAGGCTGGTCTCGAACTCCTGAGCTCAAACAATCCGCCCTCCTCGGCCTCCCAGAGAGCTAGGATTACAGGCCTGAGCCACCGTGCCCGGCCTAACCAGAGTTTTAATTATTTACTTGTCTGTTTAATATCTGCCTTCCCCTGATAGACTATATGCCCATCAGGGCTGTTTGCTCACCATTGTCTCCTCAGTGCCCACAGTGCCTGTTATACAGCACACAGTCTGGAGTTTAGTGAATGAATGCATGCATGGATGAATGAATGAATCATCTACCAGTACTTTCATCTTCACATTTGCTCCTTGTCTGTGCAGACTTCCTAACTAGGTTGTATAGTCCACTCATGGCCTCAGGATACTTGATTTCACAGTTAACCTGCCGAGTGACTCTGTTTATTAAAGAATGAAGTAGGTGCTATAATTATCTCTGTGTTATTGATGAGGAAAATGAGGCTCAGTGTGATAGAGGAGTATCCAGACTCTGTATAAATCGAGGGCTTGACCTCTTAACTGCTGTGCACTTCACTTCCGTTTGCTTCTGACGCAACTTTACTGTTACAGGATCTGTAATGAAGTCAGAGTCTGGATGAATGCCTAGTTTATGTCAGAAGTTATGTAATCATCATCTCAGAAAGTTATCTTAAGACTTAGAATTTATATAATGTTTCTAATCTGAGGTGACTATTGTTTTTCTCATTCTATACAAAAGGAAGCAGAGGTTTATATTTAGTAACAATTAGGAGTCAGATTTGTTAGACTCTAAATTCCTCTTCCCTATGACTTTTTAGAGTTCTGGCTAATTATTTCTCAGATGTTGCTGTGAACAGCGAATTTTCCCAGACATTCACACTCCATGACAACCTCATACTCCAAGAGATGCTTAGGGATCCATTTATAGACCAGTAGTTGTAAAGATACTTTAATAAACAAGATTTTCCCTTGTTTTTAGATTAAATAGTAGATTATATAACCATAGTCACTTAACTCATGGTTTCATTTTTGTAGAATGAGGCTTAAATAGGTAGTCCCTAATCCCCCACCCAGCCCCAAGTCCATAATTCTATATCAACTGATAGGAAGCCACCTATTTCTTAGCATTATTGCATGAAAGCTACAAAGATGTCAAACAAATATGCCAAGAAAATTTGTAGAATAGTAAGCTTTTTGAGTTACCAGACCACAGAATCATGCATTTTTTATTTTATTCATAGATAAGACAGTATTATAGCTTTCAGAGATGTGAGATGTGGGGATCAGATTGCTTTGGTTCTTAAGAAGCATTTTAAACCATCTAATATTTTTGGAAAATTTTGGGGGAGATACATTGTTTATGACACACCCAACTTTGACTGATGTAAGGTGCTAGAATATATCTCATACCCTACCTCATGAGAATCTATCAAATTCTGGACATAAAGTATTTTAAATTTGTGTCCAATAGGTGCTTCCACAGTCCTAAATTGTTCTCTCTAGAATTCCCTTCTAGGATTTTCTTGGATAAAAAGATGGGCTTTGAAGTTAGGCAGACCTGGGTTTGAATCTTAGATCCACCCCTTGACAAGCTGTATCACCTTGATCAAATTCATGTAGTATTCTGAGCCTTAGATTTTCATTTTTAAAGTATGTGCGGTAACACTTAACCTCATAGGGTGGTTGTGAGGATTAAGTGAGATAAAATATGTAACAAGACTAGCATTGTGCTAAACAGACACAAAATGTTAGCTGCTACTGCAGAATGTTTCTTTTCTCTGGGATTGGCATTACCTTTACCTTTTTACTCAGAATTAAGTTAGATCTTTCTGACCCTAGGACTTGATTCATAAAATCACAGTGATATTTTTCAGATATACTTTTTAGCCCACATATTAGGAAATACGTTAGCAGAAATGGAAATGATCAGTATTCTGGTGTAGTGGGACGCATAGACCTTTCTCTTTCACAGCTTTCATATCCCTGACTACTTCATTACTGAGTCCTTTTGGTCTTACCAAATAGCCAAGAGTCATTTCACTCCATTTGTCTTTCCCACCCCACTATATAGGAAGACCTTTGGGTCCCTACTCTTAGTATTTAATTAATAGGTATGAGGACAGCCTCTCTAGGAGTCCCAGTAGTTCCATCTCAGGTATTCCTTCCCTAGAGAGATTTCCTCATACCTATTATATGGGGACTAGTTGGAAAGACTTTTGGCCATATTACCATCAGTGGCTTCTCTGGCATAAATTCTGCAAACTAACCTGATCTGAAAAATTCTTTCTCTTTGCTTTGAGGAAGCTGTTCCTTTTATTCTTTTGAAAGTTAGTTGTGAACTTTGGAAGTAGGACATCCTTGCCTTGTCCTGTATCCTTGCCTATGTCCTAAGGGGCATAACCTCTTATCAGAACTCTCCTGGATAGCTGTTGATTTCATACACCCACATAACTCCCCTTCTCCCCTTTTCCATCCTTTTTCTCTTTTCCCCTTCAATTACCCTTCCCTTTTAAAGACGTTTTTCCTTAGACCTACTTATCTGTTAAGGATCTCTGTTTGGCTTTGCAATTACAGTCCAGCATTTCTCTTCTGAGCTTGACCTCACTTCCTGCCTCCTGATTAAAAAACTGTGTAGTCAAAGACTGTGGTGATCAACAAGACAAGCGTTTCCGCCTTTGAAGAAATTCCACGATTTTCTGAACTCTATAGCTATTGCATATTCTGTTTCTTTTCTCTGTCGAGGTCTGGATTTAATAAGCTTGAACTACTTTCTTTCTATTACTGATCCTTACGCGTGATTGGAAAAAGAAGAATCGAGCCTGACAGAGAGTCACTTAGAGAAATGCAGTAACATGCCTATCCTTGGTTAAGCCTGCGCCTAAAGGCATTCTTCTATTAATAATTCCATGTGTAATAAGGTAGCAGCAGCTGTAGTCCACACTCCCAGGTAATAAAAAGACTTCCGTTAGCAAAATGGGTGGGAATAAGGGAGCCCCACTGAGAGTGCTCAGTAAATATGTGTTGAATGGATATTATCAATCAAAATTGCTTTACATGTGGGGACTACCAGGTCACACTTTTTTTATGTTATTGTTTTGTTAATTTTTCAGACTTTTTGAAAAGACCTCTAGAGAGTTATGTGAAAAAACTGAAAGTACCAGTTAATGTAATTCGAATGGAACAACGTTCTGGGTTGATCAGAGCTAGATTAAAAGGAGCTGCTGTGTCTAAAGGTCAAGTGATCACCTTCCTGGACGCTCATTGTGAGTGCACAGTAGGGTGGCTGGAGCCTCTCTTAGCCAGGATCAAACATGACAGGTAATTTTCTGGCATGTGTAAGTTTGTTTTCAGTACATTTGTCCTAAACTGTATGGTGAGTTGTAAAATTCTATATTTTTAATAAATATAAAAATAATTTCCTCCCAAGTTTCCTTTAAAATACCTGTTAAGAGTACTCTAAATGAAATATGAAGAATACATTCTAAAGCCTGGCAGGGATGTTTGCAAATTGTCTTGTTAATGGGGATGGATTAGAAAGCACGTTGTTGGAATGTATACTGCATGCTCTGTTCACCACACAGGAGCAAAGCAGGTAGACGTTGAACTCGAGGGAGATGGATAAAACCCTTTACTTGTCCCTGCTTTCCCAGCCTAACACTGGGGCAGGCGGATCGTCTCATCTCTGTCTATGTCCTTATTTGGACTACAACTCTCAGCTTGTAGCACAGCAAGAGGTAGAAGAAGGTAGAGAGAAACACATTGTGACCTGAAATGCTTGTTTATGGAGGCACCAAATCTTAGATAATACAGGAAGAACATTGGTGCACTGCATGCCTATGGTTGTAGTCTTCCGTGTTACACATTTTTCAATGAATTTCCTATTGTTTGGCTCTGGCTTAGTTCTTGTGCATCAGAAGGGAACCTAACTTCAGTCTGCTAGACTTGTTAGTTGAATTTCTACTTGTCATTGCAATTTGAGCTAGAGGTTGACTGTGTAAACATTATGGTTTAGATTTTAGTGGGGTAAACTTTTACTGGTCAAGTGGAGCACGGATGGGAGCTAAGCCACAGCATCTGTTCTGCTTGTTGACAAATGCTGGACCTACATCTGTCCCTTTTCAAAGATGAATAAATAGGAAAAACTAGCATTGGGCCAATGAGAAAGTACAGCAGCTTTTAGAAAGAGAATATTGCTGTGAAGAATCAAAGAAATAGAATACCTCTCTAGATTATCTTTTATAAATAATAGATGGCTGATTTAGGAAATATTTGCTTGCATAAAGATAACACATAATCTTTAGAAACCGGAGCCTGAACCCATAGCGAGAAAGCAGTGTGAGGTGATGACAGAAGTATGGAAGGGAATTAGCTGAAATAATACCCACAATGACTTCCAGTTAGGACTGTATGGTGAATTAGATACCCTGAATAACTTTTTCAACTGGAAAAGCTGGATAAAAGGCAAACAAATTTTTAAATGCATCATTGAGTTGGCACAGCAATAAGGAATTTGCAGATCTCAAAATGAAGTGCAAGCAAATGAGCAGTGCAAACACTAGAGGCTGCTTTCACTGGTAGAGTCTCTGCTCAACTTTGGGAACACTAAGCTTCAGCCTTATTAGACAAACAAGGCAGGAGGATAGGAGACAAATCCTAAGCTCTGCCTAAGGTGGAAAGATTAATAGCAAACACCTGTATAAAGCTGGGATCTTGAGATCTATACCTCAGTGTAAGTGAGAATGAAAAATAAATCCCACAACATGAAAGAAAACTTGCCTATCTCAACCTTGGTGTGGAGGAGAAGAGGAGAGACAAATTTCCCCTAAGAATTTGTAAACAGAATATAGAAAAAAGGGAACCACGCAAGCTCTTTTTATGAGGCTGGTATAACTGTGATATGAAAACTAGAAAAGAACTATGGGGAAAATTACAGCCCAAACCTATTCATCAACTCTAGTACAAAAATCTCACAATACCAGCAAACTGAAACCGCAATATATATATTATAAAAGCTAATTACTTCAGCTTAATATTACAAAACTAATTCATGTAATATACCCCATTAACATTTTTAAAATTATGATTACAAATTTATTCAAAACACCTGTGATCACTTCCATAGGTACAGAAAAAAGGGTTCTCCTAAATTTAACATCCATTTATAATTAAAAAATACTTAGCAAACTATTAGAGAATGGAAATTTACTAATCCAAGAAAGCATAGCTTAAAAAAAAACCCTTAACAAGCAAACTTCATATTAATGGAGAAATGGTAAAAGCATTTTAAAAAATGGAGCAAGAGAAGAATGCCCTGAGTCACCAGTTAGAATTATTAGAAGTCTCAGATTTTGCAGTAATACAAGAAATAAATAAAGTGTTTATTTATTGGAAAGAGGAAAACAGGTCAGTTGTAGATGATATGCTTATCTGTGAAGAAAAATAATCTTTACACAAAATAATAGAAATAATAAGAATTTAGCAATGTTGCGAAATAGATCACTATAAAAAAATCAGTTACCTTTTCCACACCAGCAAGAAATAGTTAGAAAATATAATACAAAAAGAAAAAATACTATTTATAATAACAATGGAAATCATAGACTGTACATAGGATTATGTTTATCAAAAGATGCATGAAATATAAAACTGTTGAAATGCACTGATAAATCTAAGTGGAGAGAAGGGCGATGCTCATAGATAGAAAAGTGAATGTTATACAAATGCCAGTTTTCCCCACATTGATCTGTAAGTTCAATGCATTTTTCATTAAAATCTCAACAAAATTTTCTTTGAGAGACTGGACAGGCTGATTGTGTCACTGATGTGCAAATGCAAAAAGAACAGAAATAGTTAAGATGCTCCTGAAGAAGAGTCATGTATAAGGAGGCTTGCCCTACCAGACATCAAAACATATTTTAAAGCTATATTGATGATGGCAGTGATGTATTGATGCAGGAATTCACAAATAGACTAGTGAAATAGTAGCATCTAGAAACTAGCCCATTTTTATATGCACACTTGATTTAGATAGATTTATGACAGAGCAGGCACTGATAATTACAGCAGAAGAAAAAGAGACCATTAAATAAATAGTGCTGGAACAACTGGTTATCCATGAAGAAAACAAATGAAGTTGGATATTTAGTGCATATCATACCCAAAATCAGTTCCTTGAGGATTAAAGACTTAAATGTGAAAAATAAAAATACACTTCTTTTTAAGACAATATAGGAGAATATGATCGTGGGGTAGGGGAAGATTTCTTAAATAAGATACCTATTGGATGAGTAGAATATCACATACTATAAAATATGGCTGCCAAAGGCTATGAGTAAGGAACCTTTCCTTACAAAGGTCTGTGGTCATTTAGTGTTCAGATTTGTTAAAAAAAAAAATCACAGTGCCAATCGAAAAAATCTGAAGTATATGGTCAGTTTATATAAAGAAATACAAACCTGCAGGAAACGTATCCTTTCTAATAATTAGAATACAAATTTTAAAAAGCTAGAGATATTATTTAGTGTTGTTATATTAGTGAATATAACATCCAAAGTTGATAGCATTCTGGGGAAACTGCCAGGAGAAATATATGCATATAACACTTAATGAAAAGCAATGAAGAGTAGTGCCTTTAATTCAGTAATCTCACTACTAGAAGTTTACTCTTAAAGCAAAAACAAAATATTATGTACATGAACTGTTGTTCACTTCTCTTTATAGCAAAAGAACTATAAAGAATAAAAATGTCCAAGAGTTTTTAAAGAAAAGTATTACCTTAAAATGGTTAAATATGTGTAGTCAATAAAAGTATTGTTTTTGAAAACACATAGAAACATTTTAAGTATTTTTACATATAGCAAATATGTAAAAGTATGAATGAAAAAGATGGAAGATTATCAACCAGTAAATAATTATGATGCTAGTTTGGTATAATAACTATACTATGAAAGTTTTTCACCATTGTCTTTAACATGATAGAGTATATTTTTATTTTAAAAACACTGAGAATACAATTGTCATACTGTTACAGTAGGCATCAAACAGTAATATTTTGAAAGATTTAAATTTGCTTTTACGATTTTAGGAGAACAGTGGTATGTCCTATCATTGATGTGATCAGCGATGATACTTTTGAGTACATGGCAGGGTCTGATATGACCTACGGTGGATTCAACTGGAAGCTCAATTTTCGCTGGTATCCTGTTCCCCAAAGAGAAATGGACAGAAGGAAAGGTGATCGAACTCTTCCTGTCAGGTAATTAATTTGTCAAACATTTTCCCTAAAGTTTATTGGCAGAGGATTGTGAAGCTCTGGGAATCATATCAAAGGGGAAGTGTATTTTGAGAAACATGAAACGTTTGTGTACCTTGTATACAGTTAACAGCCATCTTTCACATATATCAGTATTTTAAAAAGAGGACTTTTTTCCTCCAATCAATTAATAAAACTAGAATTTTTCATTCTGTAAATCTAATGCACATGAGAAATGATGACATAATGAACATTTTGCAAATGTAGAAGTCAGATCTGTGCTTTAATTCAGTTCTTGAGGATAATGATATTTAGCTTAAATCAAATTGCTCCTTAATTAATTGTGTCAGTATGTGAAAATATTACCTAAAACTGGGTCCTAGCACCATAATGTAAGATTTTAAATTCAGGCTTATACTGGTAGAGTTAGGAAAGCTTGTATTAATCATAAAAATAACTAGTATTGACACAAGGTATAAAAAGGATTTCCATTAATGCATTTTCTGATTTTTCTTTTGTTCTATACTTGGTCATACATAGAGTTTTTTTCAGAAAGGAATAAAAATCTTCATGCTGTTCAGAACATGAAATTGGGCTTTCTGAGCCATACTAGAATTTATCCCATTTGCGTCAACCTGCTGCTTCTGTAGTAATTGAGTTCCTTCGGAACCAAGCTTCAGCTTTCTCCTGTTTTGGGGCTTCTCATTGTCTGCTTTCCCTTGAATTCAACTCTAGTTCTGGCAGTGTTGAGATTTGTCACTAACTATATGCTCTTTGCCTTAGCCAGCCTGAGTTCTTAGCATTGTAAGTGACTTTCCTCTCTTTACTTTTAGTTCTTTTAGTTTTTGTTTCTCTCGCTCTCTCTCTCTTTTTT